ATTTCGCAGTTCAAATGATTTTTTTTAATTTATTTAATATTTTTCCTCGAAAGATCGTAACAAAATCTACAAGCACTCCAATTTTCAGATTTTTTTTACCCGTTCTTCTGAGCGCGAAAAATCACTGAAGTTGGAGTACTTTTTTCGTTGGCCCACACATAGTTGAGTGACAAAAATATAAATGTGTTAAATCCGCATGGCGATTATTTCGCGGTTTTACCATGCAGTCAATTTTTTATGTCGAATTAGCACGGTGATTATTTTGCGGTCTTACTGAATTTTTGGAAATTTTTATGATGTTTTTCTTGGAAAGACCACGACCTGATCTATAAATTCTCAAATTTTCAGATTTTTTTGCGAATTCTTCCGAGCACAAAAAATTGCCAAAGTTGCCTCTTGCAAATTGTGGGACTGGACTCTTCTGTATCCTCCGCCTTGGACAGCCTACACGTGGGACTCCAGACAACCCGTCCCCTCCTCACTTCTTTTTGGGGTCCGACGACAGGTCCTTCCTTTTTCCAAACGTCCCGGTGCTACCAGAGCTAGTTGTAGGTAGTCCGCGATTTTGACAAGGACCGGTCCCCCAAATTTTTTCCCCCCCTAAGAACCCACTTTGTGTCTTGGTCGCCCGCTGCCAAAAATGCGACACCTTGATACAGACGTAGAAGCCCACTATACCGTAACCTTAAGGCTGCGAATTCTAATTAAAATTAGAATTAGAGTTTGAATTATATCATATTAGATACACATAATACATTCTACATAATATACATAAAATCAAATGTTACATCAACATTTTGAGATCAACGTCCCGAGAAAACCTATCTCCATTATTTCGCAGCCCTAAGGCTGCGGTATAGTGGGTTTTCGCGTCTGTGTCAAGGTGACGCATTTTTGGTAACTGGCGACCAGAACGCAAAGTGGGTTCTTAGGGGGCAAAACAATTTGGGGAACCGGTCCTTGTCAAAATTGCGGACTACCTACAACTAGCTCTGGTATAACAGGGACTTTTGGACAAAGGAAGGACCGGTCATCAGGTAAAAGCGGACCCCAAAAAAAAGTTGGGGGCGTTGGACCAGTCCTCGAGTGGAAGCGGACCCCAAAGAGAAGTGAGGGCATGTGAACTGCAAAAGAACCCTCAGGCCCAGGTGTTAAGGCCCGTCTTCTCAAAACAGGGAGATCAGGCGCAACGAAACAGGCATGTTTCAAGAGGCAACTTTGACGTTTTTTTGTGCACGGACGAATCCACAGAAAAATATGAAATTTTGAGAATCCATAGATGAGGTCGTGTTCTTTTCAGAAAAAGAATATTATAACGTTTTCAATAAATCATTTCGACTGTGAAATAATCGTCGCGCCGATTCGACACATTTTCCATTTTTGTCACTCAACCATGTGTGGGCCAACTGCAAAAGTACTCCAGATCCAGTGAGTTTTCTCGGTCAGAAGAATGCGTGAAAAAACTTGAAAATTTGAGTACTCGTAAATTTTATTGTGATTTTCTATGATAAACGCTAAATAAGTTTAAAAACACCATTCCAAATGTGAAATAGATCGCAGTCACAATTTGACCCATATTTAAATTTTCTCATTCATCCTCTCTCTCTCTCTCTCTCTCTCTCTCTCTCTCTCTCTCTCTCTCTCTCTCTCTCTCTCTCTCTCTCTCTCTCGTGTGCGCTCTTAGTCCCATTGCTTTGGCTACCTCAGGGTTGCGTTCCCCACGCCCACTCGGTAGACAATTCCTCTCTTCGATTTTACCTATAAATTAGCAGATTCGCAATTAATTCCCCCTGAACGTAGCATACAACTTTCATCGTACGATGTTGTTGAGTATATCGGCTCCCGCCTTTTTCACAAAAGCGAAAACTCTCTCGGCCAAGTCACGGATGAGTAAAAAAAAATTCAGAGTCAACTTAGTGTTAAAGTCAAAACAGTCTCGCAAACCGTCGAGACCAACGCAGTGACGTTGTCCTCTCGCCGCTCTAGCCGGGTGTGCGAGTTGTATTTCTCGTGGTTCCCTACGATAGGATAGGTTCCCATGATGCGCAACTTGCTTTCCCTAAGGAGTTGTCACCACCCTTTGGGGCGTATCTCTACCGAGCTACTGACCCACGTACAAAATTTTTTAGATGCAATTGCAAAGGTAGGTCTATCGAGGGTGTGCGCTCGTTCGCTTCAGTATAGGCACACCCACTTAAAACGTTGTTTGGCGCTGCAGGTCGTTCGACTCCTAGGGCGCTGATCTCCTAGGTAAGAGTGGGTGCTAGTCGACTAGGACGGTCTCGACCAAGCATGAAACTCATAATCAATCGTGGTTCGTTTTCATCTCGTTGAAAATAAAATAAGTAAAATTAATACGTTTTAAATTTGATTGTGTAAAACTGAATCTGGCCGCGTCGGAGAGAATGTCAATCGACGTGGGGCCGACTCGAGTTGGTTCTTGACTTGATGCAACAGTCTGCCGAAGTTAGTATTACCCGCCTCTTACACGACCAACGAGACCTAAGTTTCATTTCCTCTGAGGCAAGGGCTACATGTCGCCGAGTGGGTTGGGAAACATTAGGAAACCTAACGCCAGATATATTGTTAGGTTTGTCAACATGTTTCGATGACCTGATGTCCATTGTAATTCTGCTAATTGAAACATACAGACATGGTCCGTATGTCAGATCCTTGAGTCGCGCCTCGGAAGGTTGTAGAGGAAGCCTAACACTTTTATTACACTCTTCTTTGTACAACTCCATAATGTTATCGCATGATGTGGGTTGGCTAATCATCAATGTATGATGGTTAAACTTAAAAGGTACACTTCGTCTCTCTTTTTTTGCTCTCGATTTCAATCGTGTCGCCTTTGCACGACTCCTAAAATAGTGGAACTAATGTTTTCTCATATGCGAGGTACGTCCCTACCGTGCCTAGAGTCGTACTTGTCTGACGCACGCGAGAGGTGGTTAATGACCCTTATATTTTCCACCGAATATATAACGAATCATTTTTGTATAACACATAATTACGCACATTATATCCCGAGGTATTTTCTGGATTTCGTTACCGACACTTCGGGATTTTTGGGATTTACTTTGAGCTATTAGTGAGTTATATCCTGAGGTGTTTTGGAGATTTCTTTACCGAATTACACTTCGGGATTTTTGGGATTTACTTAGAGTTGTTAGTGAGTTATATCCCGATGTGTTTTTGGGGTTTCGTTACCGAATTACACTTCGGGTTTTTCAGGATTTACTTAAGAGTTGTCAATGGGTTATATCCCGTGGTGTTTTCGGGATTTCGTTACCGAATTACACTTCGGGATTTTTAGGATTTACTTAGAGATGTTAGTGGGTTATATCCCGAGGTGTTTTCGGGATTTCGTTACCGAATTACACTTCGGTATTTTCAGGATTTACTTAGAGTTGTTAGTGGGTTATATCCCGAGGTATTTTCAGAA